GGTGGGTTGCCGTTCATAAATGGCGCCCGCCATATTGGATTGTGAATGCTCCCTGGGAGCGTGCGGCACTGCAATCCGGTGCCCGCTGTGTCCTCTATTTATAAACGGCCTCCCTGCCCCTTGCTTGTGGGCTCTCCCTGGGAGCACGCAGCACCGCGATACGGTGCCCGCTGTGTCTGGAGGAGACACATCGGAACACCAATCACTGTACGGGACCTCTGTGTGAGGTCCCAATCATGTGATCACTGACTGGCCAATCACACATGAAAAGTAGTAAGCAAGATGTCACTTCTGACATCATTGCTTACTACATGTGAAATCTGTGAATGATCTCAGAGATCACGTGGTACAGGGCTATTCACAACAGTCTTGTACCATGTGACCAATCACAGCTCTCACAGTATTTCTCAATGGCTGCAGGAATGCAGCCAGAGAGGAGAAATGATTGCTTTTACAGCCTTTATGGGTGTAAAAGCAATCGGTGTAAAAAAAAAAAATCTTCATCACCCCCCACAAGTAGTACAATGTCACTATGGTGATACTGCACTGCTAGGGTGACGGTATGTAAAAAAAACAAAAAAAAAAAAACATAATTAACATAAAAAAATAAAAATGTAAAAAGCATTTTTTGAAAAATTATAATTTTTGGTTATAAACTAATTTGGGTTATTTTTTTTTTACTAAAAAGATAACTGGATACATTTTGGCCAAGATTTATGAAGAAAGATTATTTATTTGCAAACTTTTATAAGAAAAAACACTTTTTTCAAAAATTTTGGACTTTCATTTATATAGCAAAAAAAAAAAAATCCCAGCGGTGAATAAATACCACCAAAATAAAGCTTTATCTCAAAAAAATGCAAAAAATTCATACGGGTACAGTGTTGCATGACCGCGCAATTGTCATTCAAAGTGTGATAGCGCTGAAAGCTGAAAATTGACCTGCACAGGAAGAAGGTGAAAGTGTCCGGACTGGAAGTGGTTAATTTAGGGTTTCTCTTTAACCTCTTCACGCAAATTTGCGGCCTCTCTGTGGCTGGACCTTGACGCTGAGCAGTCGCATATTTGCGTACCATTTATAAAACAAACGTGCTGAGAGCCTGCGCCTTGCATGCTTCCCAGCACGTGTCAGCGTCCCATGGAAAGGTCCCGATCTCTCCTTGTTGCGCTCGGGACCTTTTCCGATCATGTGACAGCCAATCACGGCGGTCACATAATCTCCTGGCGTAAAACCCCGTTAAAGGGCCGGGAGGCGCCGGCGTGAAGGAATTAAATCTGCCTAGAGATCACTTTTAAAGTGACCGTCAGGTAAAAAAACCAAAAAAAAAACACTTCCCTGTAAAAGAAAGGAATACATTCTTCTCCAGAAGTGGTTCCATTGAGGAGAAATCTTCCTCTGAAGTCTAAGAAACCAACAGTTTTGGGATCGTTGATCTTCTGGTCTGCCCTCTGCTCTCCGTGGTTCCTCTCATCTACCTCCAGGTCCCTGTTGTGTTCTAAAGTGACGTCGGTGGGAGGAACAAGTAATCTCCGTGGGGTTGGGGTGCATTGGACATTCCCGGAGGTGTCAGGTTCTCAACAGACTTCTGAGGAAGCTTCCTCCAATGGAATGACGTTCATAGACAGACAACAGGAGAAGTATCTATTCTTTACAGGGAAAGCTTTGTTTTCAAACTAACAGGGTTGCGGCAAAGTCGGGGTTGGCAACCCGTCGGTCAGGTGACTGGTAGAACACACGCCCTTGGCTTGGTGACCCGCCATCTGCAGATCCTTGCACTTAGTGGAGGCATATGGAAGCAGTGGGACCGCACTGGCCGTGGAGAGAGCAGCCGGCCCCATCGGCCAATACCTCTTCTACGGTTCCAGCTGGAGTGATATCAGTTGTACTCCTCCTCTCTGTACCTCTGCCTTAGTAAGGATAGAAAGAGGCGGAGTGCAGTTGATATCGCTCCGTCTGGGTGGGAGTGCAGCTGGATCCTTGCCAGCAGCAGCTGCAAGAGACAAAGTGGACTCGTCTCCTGTATTATTCTTGTTCAGGTCAGTATGTTTACACCAGGGGTGCCAAACTGGCGGTCCTCCAGCTGTTGCGGAAAAGTCCCATCATGCCTCTGCCTTTGGGAGTCATGCTTGTAACTGTCAATCTTGCAATGCCTCATGGGACTTGTAGTTTGGCAACAGCTTGAGGGCCGCCAGTTTGACACCCGTGCCTTACACAAAACAATTGTAGGGGACTCAGGGCAGTAAGGTCTCTAAGTTTGAAGGGGCGGTAAAACACCATAGTTGAGCTATGTTCTACCGCATTTCTCCACATGTCACAGCCACAGCAGGGATTATACACCCCGTCACGCTTGGTGGGTGTAGCGTTTGACAAGCGTGACCAATTCAAATGACTACATTGACCAAAGGGTTAAAGCAGGCAGTGAGGTGGTATATTGCCTCCTCACCACCTGCTTTAACCCTTTGGACCACACACTAGCATGCAGCAACCACGTGCATTGCACACGGTTGTGGGGCGCTTACACAGAGGCCCCGTTCACTTGACTGGGCCACAATCACCCACCGAGAGTGACTGGGTATAATTCCTGCTGAAAAGCAGCATTTCTGCAGTATATCCTGGACATTCAGGCCTAAACTGCTGAGGAGATCTTAAATCACCGATTAGCTTGAGATTATTCCCTTGTCAGCAAATGTTTCATTCGTAGCCTATTGAAATTTATTGGCATTGAAAGTGAAAGAAAAACCGATGGGTAAATCCCAAGCTACTAAGCAATTAAACATCTCCTGTGTAGTTATGCAGTGTGATGCATGTGGATTGGGAACACCCACAACACAACTGTGAATACTGAAGATGTGCTGCTCGTTTCATGATCCCTACAAGAATAGAATCCTTGGCCTGTATGATCGAATATTCCCAACACATACAGTCAGGTCCATAAATAATGGGACATTAACACAATTCTAACATTTTTGGCTCTATACACCTCAATGGATTTAAAATGAAACCAACAAGATGTGCTTTAACTGCAGACTGTCAGCTTTAATTTGAGGGTATTTACATCCAAATCAGGTGAACGGTGTAGGAATTACAACAGTTTGCAGATGTCCCTCCCACTTGTTAAGGTCCCAAAAGTAATGGGACAAAATAATAATCATAAATCAAACTTTCACTTTTTAATACTTGGTTGCAAATCCTTTGCAGTCAATTACAGCCTGAAGTGTGGAACGCATAGACATCCCCAGACGCTGGGTTTCATCCCTGGTGATGCTCTGCCAGGCCTCTACTGCAACTGTCTTCAGTTCCTGCTTGTTCTTGGGGCATTTTCCCTTCAGTTTTGTCTTCAGCAAGTGAAATGCTCAATCGGATTCAGGTCAGGTGATGGACTTGGCCATTGCAGAACATTCCACTTCTTTGGTGTCTTTTGCAGTCTGCTTTGGGTCATTGTCCATCTGCACTGTGAAGCGTCCAATGAGTTGTGAAGCATTTGGCTGAATATGAGCCGATAATATTCCCGAAACACTTCACAATTCATCCGGCTGCTTCTGTCAGCCGTCACATCATCAATAAATACAAGAGAAGCAGTTCCATTGGCAGCCATACATGCCCACGCCATGACACTACCACCACCATGCTTCACTGATGAGGTGGTATGCTGAGGACCATGAGCAGTTCCTTCTCCATACTCTTCTCTTCCCATCACTCTGGTACAAGTTGATGTCGGTCTCATCTGTCCATAGGATGTTGTTCCAGAACGTGAAGGCTTTTTTTACATGTCGTTTGGCAAACTCTAATCTGGCCTTCCTGTTTTTGAGGCTCACCAATGGTTTCCATCTTGTGGTGAACCCTCTGTATTCACTCTGGTGAAGTCTTCTCTTGATTGGTGACTTTGACACACATACACCTACCTCCTGGAGAGTGTTCTTGATCCGGCCAACTGTTGTGAAGGGTGTTTTCTTCACCAGGGAAAGAATTCTTCGCTCATCCACCACAGTTGTTTTCCGTGGTCTTCCGGGTCTTTTGGTGTTGCTGAGCTCACCGGTGCGTTCCTTCTTTTTAAGAATGTTCCAAATAGGTGTTTTTGGGCCACGCCTAATGTTTTTGCTATCTCTCTGATGGGTTTGTTTTGTTTTTTCAGCCTAATGATGGCTTCACTGATAGTGACAGCTCTTTGGATCTCATCTTGAGAGTTGACAGCAACAGATTCCAAATGCAAATAGCACACTTGAAATGAACTCTGGACCTTTTATCTGCTCATTGTAATTGGGATAATGAGGGAATAACACACACCTGGCCATGGAACAGCTGAGAAGCCAATTGTCCCATTACTTTTGGTCCCTTAACAAGTGGGAGGCACATATGCAAACTGTTGTAATTCCTACACCGTTCACCTGATTTGGATGTAAATACCCTCAAATTAAAGCTGACAGTCTGCAGTTAAAGCACATCTTGTTTGTTTCATTTCAAATCCATTGTGGTGGTGTATAGAGCCAAAAATGTTACAATTGTGTCCATGTCCAAATATTTATGGACCTGACTGTACGTTCCTGGAATTAGCTGTTAGGTGTCAGTGGGTGCTGCAGTGACCATCAGCTGGAAACCGTAGACATTCAAAGCTGAAGATATGTCACCAGCACACCAGAGATTCCCCAAACGGTTTCCAAAGCTTCAGTGGCCACGCTAACGAAAGGCAACATTTGAAGCTATGCAGGACCCCTTTCCTTTCCTGATGTTAAAAAAGGTCCTGCATGGCTCCAAAACGTTGCCTTTGTTAAATATGCTGTGACCACCAAATAAAGCTTTGGACCCATTTAGAGAATCCTTGGCGTGCCGGTGACATCTTCAGCCTTGGCCTTTATGAACTGCACCAAACGGAAGCTGATGGGTCTTGAATGTTCCATCTAAGACCTGCTACATGAATTTTGAAACTGCAATAGAAGTTTTGTTTTGTGCTTTTGGCTTTTGTGGAATCTGGTACCAAAATGCCCCTTCTTGTTTCATTTCACAAGAGGCGCAACCTTAGGATGGCCTGTGCACCCCGCAAGAGAAAGGAGAAGTTTTCTCCTTTGGAGCTGGAGATTTTGGTGGCCGAAGTTACCAAGAACCACTCGAAACTCTACGGAAGCGAGAGGGTCAACCTTAGCCAGCCGGCAAGAGAGAGGATCTGGTTGGAGATCGCCAAGAAAATCAATTCCGTGGCAAGGTCTCCGAGAACCACCAGAGATCTGAGGAGGAGATGGGACGATATGAAAAGACGGACTAAGGAGAAGCTGGCTATTATAAAGAGATCTGTTGTATCTGGAGGCTTAAGTAGGAGCCCATCGGGAATGCATAACGATACGAACAGTGATGTTTATCCTGGATATGGCAACGATGATGACGAAGATGACCATGATGACGTTGATGTGGAAATTGATGCACCTCACATAGCTCTGGAGCTTCAGTCAGGTAATACAGGCAGAAGGGGGTGGCAGTCATTTGGCTTGGAAGCGGTAGCAATGGTCCGGTTGGTACTGTAGTTGGCATGGCATTAACTGTAGTTTCGGGCTTAAGTGGGTACAATTCTAATTTGCTCTCGAGTGTAGTTGGTGCTGAAATGATTTATGCCCTTTGAGTTCTGATTCATAGCTCAAGCTACTATCGCTTAAATAATTACCAAACAAAACCTCTATGAGATTTGGACAAATAAGTGTTTTACATTTCTATCTCTGGCTACTGCTTTTTTTTTTTTTTTTTCTTTCTTTTTGAAGTCAGTAATTTTTTTTTTTTATTTTTTTTTTATTTATTGTTTTAATTCCCACAGATGAAGAGGAAAATGGCCCAGGTTGCACGTGGGTGCCTCTTAAAACTATAGAAATGGTCACCACCGAGCCAGACCTGTCTGACCACCCGGTGATTATTCAGACTTCAGCATCATCTCCGTCACCTCCTTCCTCCCCTCAAATGCAGGCGAAATCCACCTACATGAGAAGGCTTTCTCAGACGCCTCCGCACCCGCGCCGAAAGCACGAAGTCTCCGAGTTTGAGAAGCAGCTCATGGAGAGTCAGATCCAGCAGAACACCCTTTTGTCTTCTTGGTACCAACAACAAACTTCTTTAATGGTGCAGCAGAACCTCATCTTAGAAAACCTCGTGGAACAAAGTAGACGATTAGCGGATAATGTTGAGATTTTAAATCGGACCTTGGAGAGGATGGTGGACACTAACCATTCTCGCAGGGGAGCTGGTCATTTTGTAAAGGATCGAGCGCCAGGTTCATCAACCAGGTCTTCCTCTCGAGCATCGGGGGGTGGTGAACCAGGGGGACAGTCTGGAAATGAAACTTATTCTGGCATGATTCTAAAAGTCGAGGAGGAACTGTAAGGTCTTCTGTACCGAACTCTTGGGGAAAAAAAAAAAAATACCCTCCTCCTAGAACAGCTTTTTGTATTCACGAAAAATTCTATGAACATTTTTTTTTTTTTTTTTTTTTTTTTTTTTTTTTTTTTTTTTCAGTAGGTCATTAGAAGAGAAATACTTCCCTTATACAATGCATATATAGAGCCATTTTTGTAGGTTGTGAGATATACTGTGCATATTTTCTATTTGGATTTATTGGTTTGTGAGGAAATATTTTGTACGTGTTCTTTTTACTCCGAGATAATATTTTTTCGTAACAAAAGTAAAAAAAAAAAAAAAAAAAAAAATTTCTTAAAAAAAAAAAAAATTAAAATCCTATTTATCGTGCAGGGATAGGTAAGCCTCTCAGGCTGGATTGAATGCAAAATCCTGTATGCTTAGCTTATGAAAACATTTTGCTGGATCTATACTCACTAGCAGCATTACAGGACTAATCGAAGTCCCCAGCCCCCCCCCCCCCCCCCCCCCCCATGTGTGCAATTTCAGGTTTACAGATAAATCAAGTCCGTTTACAGTCTAAAAGAACAAAAACCCAAAGATTATTTCCTTGAAAGTTTTTTTTTTTAATTTTATTTTTCATGCAAAGCATTTCTGCTTTGGAATGGCACCTCCTTACAAGTACCTGTGTAGGGTGTCACTACTAGTCTGGGCAAATCTGATGATAGGAAAAAAAAATGTATTCTGTACATCTCTGCAATATAGATACGCTATCAAGTTTTTTGTTTTTGTTTTTTTAAGAACCCACAGGAGATACAATATCGATAGGCAGGCAAAGAACAGGTCATATCTAAAGAACTATCCACATAGGACTTCTCCACTATCAGCTCCACACCAACAATTAGGCTGAAGAGTGCGGTATGTGTACAATAGCTCTGTGCCCTCCACATTGCAGCCTGGGGGGGCCCAGCTGTGGTCTCTTTCTTGCTTTTATCTGGCCCTTGGGGTACTATTTCATCCACTGATACCAACAATATGGCTTAATTACCCCCACTGACACCACTGAAGGGACACAATTTCTCCCAATAACACCAACAATGGGGTCCAATGACTGACCACACTTTCTCCCAAAAACACCAACAATGGGGCCTACCAACAGCAATGACGGGACACAATTTCTCGAAACAACACCAACAATGTGGCACAATTTCTCCCAGTGACACCTACAGTTGGGTCCAATAACAGCAATGATGGGACACAATTTCTCCCAATAACACCAACAATGGGGCCCAATGACAGCAATGATGGGACACACTTTCTCCCAATAACACCCACAATGGGGTCCAATGACAGCAATGATGTGACACACTTTCTCCCAATAACACCAACAATGGGGCCCAACGACATCATTGGCGGGACACACTTTCTCCCAATAACACCAACAATGGGGCCCAACGACAGCAATGGCGGGACACACTTTCTCCCAATAACACCAACAATGGGGCCCAACGACCGCAATGGCGGGACACACTTTCTCCCAATAACACCAACAATGGGGCCCAACGACCGCAATGGCGGGACACACTTTCTCCCAATTACACCAACAATGGGGCCCAACGACATCAATGGCGGGACACACTTTCTCCCAATAACACCAACAATGGGGCCCAACGACATCAATGGCGGGACACAATTTCTCCCAACAACACCAACAATGTGGCACAATTTCTCCCAGTGACATCCGCATTGGGGTCCAATAACAGCAATGATGGGACACAATTTCTCCCAGTAACACCAACAATGGGGCTCAATGACAGCAAGGATGACACAATTTCTTCCAATAACACTGTAACGGAACCGACCCCAGACTGCACTTCGGTATTTCCGTTAGACTACCGCTTCCCCGTCTGAACACCGACAACAGATACCACAGCAGACCATACAAGACTAGACGACACCAATCTTGAAGTAATGCAGAAAGTAGACTAATTTATTTTAACACAGATACAAGATATATACACTCAGGGGACAGTTCCCCCTCCCTGCATAATGACACAGGGCGGGACAATCTACATTTAGTAACAAGAGACACACCAGCAGACAGTCCCAGCAGCAGGGAGGGCTGCTAGAGACACCCCCCTCCAAGCCAATACACAAACACAAAATCCCATAATAGTTTGCTCCCAAGACACACAATAGAACAATGGGATGCAACCATAACACCAAACAATCCACAACCTCCCACCCCACCTATCTTCTACACATGTCTACACAATATTAGGACAGGTCACCCTGTACCCCGAACAGGCACAGGGTGACTTACACGTAAGAGGGATATGGGGAGCTGAGACGAGTTTCCCCACCCCTCCAAAGTGAGCTGGGTTCCATGGGCCCCCCACCCAAAGTAACTCCCTGTCAGGGCTCCGGGTATGACCAGAGGTATGTGAACTGACGGGGAAACGCAGGCTTCAGATATGTTATAAACAATATAATTTATTAATACTAAGAATACAAAACGCAGTGCAATACTAAAACATAAACACAGTGCAAACGAACCAAACCACCCACAGATAATACATACAATGCAAGCGTAGTCAAGCAGGCCGGGTCAATAACAATCGGGCAGGTAGGTACAGGAGGAGCAGGCAGAGAGTAGTCAGGTCACGAGCCGGGTACAGCAACTAACAGGCAGGTAGGTACAGGGGGTCAGGCAGAGAATGGTCGGGGTCACAAGCCAGGGATCAAACAGGAGAAGTCAGCAGAGGTCAGGATCAAGCAGGGTAGGCAACAAGTCAGTCAGACAGGAACAGGAATGCAGGTAACAAGATACAGGGGCCCAGGAAAATCACACACCAAGGCACAGACTGCAGGTCTGGCTACCCCTTAAATACACCTCCGTAATCAGCTTCAGGTGTTTGGCTGGCTGCAGGGTTGAGTCTCTGATTGCTGAGAGCACCCGCTGGCCAGCCCAGGTACTGCAGCCCACAAGGCAGGTGAGTCCCACCATTACTGGCAAGTCCATTCCTGACACTCCCGTCACAAACACCAACAATGGAGCCCAATGACTGCAATGATGGGACACAATTTCTCCCAACAACACCAACAATGTGGCACAATTTCTCCCAGTGACACCCGCAATGGGGTCCAATAACAGCAATGATGGGACACAATTTCTCCCAATAACACTAACAACGTGGCACGATTTCTCCCAATGACAGCAATGATGGGACATAATTTCTCCAAATGACACCAACAATGGTGCCCAATGACAGCAGCGATGGGACACAGTTCCTCCCACTGAAACCAAACTTGGAGTCAGTGGGTTTTTTTCTCCATTGATGTTGGGCCTTTTCTACTCCTATTAGCCATAGTTCGGCCCCTCATAAAGTCTGAAGGACAGTAAAATGGCCCTTTGTTTAGAAAGTTTGGAGCCCCCTGCAATAGCAGATCCAAGAGTCATACAGAACTACAGGCTTAAGGGAGGGTTACTTGAAGAAGTGCTTGTATACCAAGACCCTCAGGCCTCAAGGAGACAGTCTCTGTATGCACTGATATATATATATATATATATATTTGCCCACAGCAGGGCAAAGGAGGGATGGAACTGGGGGTTGGTGGGGGTTCTGTATCGGTATCTAGGGGGCAGCGTAACGAAAAGCAAGGCTCAGAAGCCCTTGGAGGTGTCAGACGAGACTAAACCATATGTCTGTGGGTCCATAATGGCTCGAAAAGTGGGGGAGTACGTGAATTTCATCCAGTAAAATCAGACTTTGTTGGATCTTTCTTCCCTATGGTTAGCAGAGACTCCATCCAATGGCTCTCATTCATCTTGGTGAACCACAGCCAGATAGAAGGTTCCAGCACAAAGGTACGCAGGCCTTCGACGCGCTCAATAAATGTGAGCATTTTGTATCATTTCAGTCACTTAGGTGTTACATTTAAAGGCTTCCATAGGCAGCTCTATATATGTCAGTTTAAGGATCCAATGGCGGACCTGGGCCCAAAAGACGGTCAGCCTAGGGCAGGACCTGAAGACTTGAAACTCTTTCCAATCTTTTATTCCAGGGGACGGAAAAATTGGGTCGATCGCAGTCTGCCCTCAGGTGATGGGTGGATCGCGACCAAGCTTCCCTACCCTTATCTGCTCTGGGGCATTCAAATCTACAGAATAAATCAGAACAGGGAAGGGTGCTGACTCCTCCCCCCAATGTGTCGTCACTGGGATTTCAATTGGAGGTGGGTGGGGCTTAACTCTCGAGCCAATGAATGGGGCTCTTTATCAATAAGCATTCAATGCCTTATGTAGTGAGAAGGCATGTCCTGAGGAAACCCATCTGATATGCTGGCCCTCGGTGCACACCAAGCAGGGTGTTTGATTCTGGGCAGGTCTAGTCTAATAATGCCAGGCTCTGGGTTCAAACAGGTACTCCCCCCAACCCCCCACCACCACCATATATACCGTACTGCAGTTCTGGTATAACAAACTTGGTGGCTTGAGTTGAGGCTCTTCTGTAAAACCTACTCATTCCCCTTACTGGGCCAGGGTAAGAAGTCCAGTTCTCACTACGGTTGGCATCTCAATGATTGCTGAAGAGAAGCCTCTGCTGCAGGTAAACACTTTGAAGCTGCAGGCTCACAGATAGTCTAACAGGGCCTTCTGCTACCAGTGTTGTCTCTAGGGCCCCCGTATGGGGTGATGGGGTCCATATTAACACAAAATAAATGCCAGCATGCAAAGGAGATTACAAACAACATGGCCCAATAGCCAGAACTTGGTCCTGTATCCTCCACTACGCTTACTTTGTAACTATGCCTTGCTGAGTTATCTCCTTAACCCCTTTGCGCCGGCGCCTCCTGGCCCTTTAAGAGTTTCAGGAGGCGGGGCCGGGTTTTAGGGTCATGTGACCGCCGTGAGTCGCTGTCATGGCAATTGCATGACCAGAAAAGGTCCCGATTGCAAGGGGAGATCGGGACCTTTCCGTGAGTCAGGGACATGTGCTGGGAGCGCACAGGGCGCGTGCGCTCTC